TCTTCTTCTTCAATTTTTTGGAGTCTCTCATCGTACTTCATCATCATTTGTTGGATGTTCTCCACCTTTTCATCAGTTTTCCCTGTTCTTTGTTCTCTGTTCTCTTTTCAATATTCTCTGTTTTGTTTAAATATTTTGAATTCCTTGCATAATCATGTGCAGGGTCACTTTTTCTTGTTCTTTTTCTTGCCATAACATTGTCTGTATTGAACGTTGTCCTCCAGATGGTGGAGAGGAGGAAGTAGTAGTTGAGGAACCAGGGGCTGTTAATTTCCTACTCATTTTGAGCAATTCAAAATCTTCAGGTTCTTCTAGACCTTAATCCAATTGTGAAAACCAATTGCAATTCCAAATAAAAATAGTAGGAAAAAAGAAGCCAAATAGTAATAATAATAAAAAGAGAAAAAAAATTTCTTCAGGTTCTTGTATACCTTAATCCAAGCAATTGGTTAGATAGCAGAAAAAATTTAAAAATGAAGGGAAAGACCATAAACACACACAAAAAAGAAGTTGTAAAATCAACATTGCTCTAAGTAAATGTCCCAAGAAATGGCCACCCACCTACCAGTAAGGCTCCACCCCATGCTACCCTGAAGGCAGCCACCCTCAATCCTCCAAACAACAGCCCATATCTATGGTAACTAAGAAAGTTAACAGAGTAGCATGCTCACAGGGCAAGGCCCAGAGTCTTACATCCAATCCACCCGGCTAAGCGAGTCCATGAGACAAACTGTAGTCCACAAGGCAAAGTCAAGGCAGAGGACAAAAGGCAGTCCTCAGGGCAAAGACAAGGTAGAAGGCAAAAGGCATTTCTCAAGGCAAGGCAAAAAGCATGAGCCAAAGCCAAGGGAGTGTAAGCCAAAACAAAACAATTGTTCCTGGCAAAGACTAACTCTCCACAGCTTTTCCTTAATCCACTCCAGATGTTTCTTATGAGGAGGGGTGGAGTAGCCCTGTAGCCTTTCTCTGGGTTTGCCTATGCCCCACTTTCTATTCCAAGGGTCTTCAAACTTGACAGCTTTAAGACTTGTGGACTTCAATTCCAAGAATTTCTGAGCTAACTTGACTGGGGGAGGAATTCTGGGAGTTGAAGTCCACAAGTCTTAAAGCTGTCAAGTTGGAAGACCCCTGCTCTATTTCCTTGGATCCATTCTCTATGCCGGGGGTGTCAAACTGCTTAGTCATGGGGTTGCCGTGGCTTTTCCCTCCTTCGCTAAACCAGGCATGGGTATGGCCAGTACGTGATGCGAGTTTGATAGCCCTGCTTATGCCCTTGGATCAAGTGGTGGAAGCAGTTGTTCCTCATCAGAGGGAAGCTGCTATTAGCACCACTGCCTGTCAGCAGCCAATCCTCCTGTGTCTGTTGAGGGCGGGCAGCTCTCCATCCAGTTTGATCACTTCCCCCAATGCCTGAGATCTGGGACAGCATCGTCCTCAGTCCCTGGCCTTTCCAAACATGCCAAGGGAGACATGCTATCCCTGTTGGATGGTCCCAGTTCCAAGAATGAAGTAGCAACTTCTCCAAAGCATTTCTCTGCTTACTGCTTTCTTGATAATTCCATTGAGATTTCATAGATATACTGTACTTCAATGTGTCTGTTACTTTTTCTTCTTCTTCTTTTTTGCTAATAGTTTTCCCAATTCTACTTTGTCTACAAAGCAGAATTGGGAAAACTATTTGGTTTCAAGATTCTCTCTTTCGCTTAAGAAAGATTCAAATATATAACTTTCAATTCCTATGGAGCCTCTTGTACTGAGTGCAGAATTCTACTTTTAGAATTAAAGTTCCCAGCTCAGTCAAACATCAGATTTGAAAAAGAGATGTTGAATCATGTTCTCCCTAGCAAGGAGAAAAAGAAACCACTTGGTTCAAGAAGCACTCTTTGGCTTAAGTGAGGTTCAAAGAACAAATTTATTGCAATCCCTATGAGGCCTAATAATGCATACAGAATTCAACTACTGGAACTCAAGTTCCCAGCTCAAACATACAATTTCAAAATCAATGTTAAGCTTCCCTCTTCTGGTCTCCAACATCTCCATCTTTCACCCCCTTAAGCCTGCCTGACTCTTCATCATCTGTTAGGTCTACTCAGTCTAATACAATCTAACAATTTAATCTCTTAGATCTTCCTCCCTTCTGCTGTCTTTTCAGTCCATCGTTAGCCACTCATCTGCTTAAAGACCCATTTTCCCCCATTTCAAAACAAATCTTTTAATAAATTAAATACTAATTATATTAACACTTATTATTTTTCTCATTAGTAATAGGAGGCTGCTTCACTGCTACATTCTTTATCTGTTTGATTATCTTTGTTCGGAAACAACAAAAGCCCTCAACCCATAGCACTTTCTGCCACCCAAGGAGCGACAATACTAAAAGAGTGATACTGCCCTCTACTGAACAAGAAAAGTGCAACTGAGTGGAATTTTGCCATGACAAGGCTTGTGTTACTTGAAAACAGCAAAAATGAAACAGTACAATAAAAGGTAAACAGTACTTCCACCCAGTTTGACTGCCTGCATTTACTGCCATTGGCAAGGAGGAATAATGACCCTAGCCATTGGCTATATGGAAAGGCCCCAACAAGAATGACCTATTTTATTATCCTTTAAGGACCATGTTTTCATTTGTTATTTTCTATAACAGATCTTTTGTAAGCACTTTGTAAGATAATGTTTGTAATTTTTTAAAGTGATTTACCTAGTTTTGTTTTGCTTTAATCAGTATTCCTGATGCAAACTGTTAAAATACAGATAGTCCTTGACTTACGGCAATTGAGCCCATAATTTGTTGCTAAGTGAGACAATTAAGTTTATCCTTTTTATGACCTTTCTTGCCACAATGGTTAACTGCAGTTGTTAAGTTAGTAATATGCGTGTTAAGTGAATCTGGTTTCCCCACTGACTTCGCTTGTGGGGAGGTCATAAAAGGAGATCACATGACCCCGAGACACAGCAACTGTCATAAATATGAGTTGCAAGAGTCTGAATTTTGATCATATAACTCTCAGGATGTTGCAATAGTTGTAAGTGTGAAAAATGCTAATAAGTCACTTTTTTTCAGTGCTGTTGTAACTTTGGTCACTGTCAGGCTACAGAACTTTTCTCATTCAATCAACTAGAATGAACTTCTGAAAACGTATCAAAAAGTATCAAAAGGAATCCTTTATTGAGATGAGACAATTCATGTAGGGGTTAAAAGCAGCGTCTAAGGTCTCTCAGGCATGCAGAGATAGATAAGGGAGTTTAAAACCCCTCCCCTTATCTTGATGTGTATTTAGTAAAACAAAGAGCCAACGTGTTAATTCCCCCCACCCCCTTTTTAGAACGATCTTTTTCAGTTTCCCAGGACACATCTCAATATGTGGAATTTTTATGGTCTTTCCTGGCTATCTCTCTCAGAGGTGATATGTTCCGGCCATCTGGGTTTCATCCCTCCATTGTATCATGTGTAGGTTATAAAATTTGATATAAGATTAAATATATTCAGGTTACATCAAGAAGGATTTCTTTATCAGTCCCCCCCCCCCTTCTTTCATTGAAGAAATGACAGATACACGGATCTGACAGTCACTAAATGAACTATTGTCAGTTGAGGACTACCTGTAAACAAAAGGCAATTTGTCTTACATAGTTGCATTTGGAAGGCGATTGGGGGCATTTATTCTACTCGCACATCAGAACTGCCTTCCTAAGAGCCAAACATGGATTTGCCTTATAGTCAATGTTTCTCATTCATGGGACTATTTCATACAAATCTTCATTATGATAAAGTGTGCTCCTAGTATTTAATTTTGGAACTTTTGCCATAAAGGCAGAAGACTATTTATTTCTAATTCAAACCTACACAAAACTACCACAAGTTACTGTGGCACATCCAGTACCAGATAACATATAATCTATTTGCTTATTGGCTATATTAAGCATTAGCAATTTAATTAAACCCATTCAATTTAGTCTTTTGATTATATGCTTATATTGTATTAACAAATTTCAGAGAATAATTTCCATTCCATAGTCTTGAATAAATTTAGTTGACTTTTAAACCATCATATTTACCCTTTAATTAATTCAATTAAACTCTAAGGAATCTATGTGAAACTGGATACATCTGTTAGAAGCTGATAGTGAGATCAAATGATCAATAATGAGAAAAATTATCCAGCCTTTCAATCAGGGTAGTTTTGAACTTAGACTTCTTCCTCCCTTAATCAGAACCATTTCAATGCTATTCTATTTTTTGTGTATAAAGCTCAGAACACTGTAAACTTAGAAGCGCTTGATGATCTTGAGCTTTTAGATTTTCTCATCAAGGAAAGAGGCAGTAATTAATTCAGTTATTTATTATAATTGAAATGGCTGACCACTCAACATGTAATTCAGACATACAAGGGATACAATTGGTGTATGACAACCATCTAGGATGGGATTAGAATTTGACTTTTGATTCAGAAACTCCATAGTCTCAGGTCTGATATGTGAACATGCTTATTCAAATGCTTTGTCTTGTGTGTCTGTGTCTGTTTACAGTTCTGATATTTGGGAAGGCAAGCTCACTTCTACAAAGCAAGCTGTCTGAAAAATTTATATGCTTTTTCTAAAGACTGATTTAAATTATACCATAACCTAAAACTGGTCTCTGGCCAAAATGCACAAGCAATCAATAACCAGTATAAGAGATGGTTTTTAAAAAGTACCTAAAACAAGAATTAATCTATTTTACATTTACCCAACAGATAATTGTTACTGGGTATTCTTTCAAGTAGATATGATCTTAAATCTGAAGCAACTGAAACAGTGGTGCTTAAAATATGTAGCTTTGAATAATTTTTCTCAATGAATAAATGAAAAAATATGTTTTTTACTTTTCTTCCATTATTTTGACTCATTTGTTTAATTGGCTACTTTATTTTGTTTTAGGACATGTGGAAGTCTGATTACATTTTAGATCATATTGATGCAGGAATACTGAAAGATTAAAAGGATTCACATAAATTACTGTACCTCTGATTTATTAAGTGAAGCCCAAGGATATATTCCCACTGCTAGGAAGAATTAACAAGTGCAAAACTCAATTAACTCATACATTTGTATATAATTACATTTATTTTTCTTTTCTTAAGCCATTCAGACTTCTCATGTCCAATACATAATGACCCAACATTCTGTAATTCTTCTTCTCTCTTTATGAAAAAAATGATAGGATACAGGTTACACATAGAAAGAAGCATCATTGCTTTTTCATGACAATCTTTAAACAAGAATTAGGTAAAATATAGGTCTACCAAAGTCAAAACAAAACAAAAAAGTCCTGCAAGTCCAGATACTTTTAAATCTCATAGTGCTTCACTGGCGTTGGTTCAGTATTGGGTTCTGCTCTGTTCTCCAAATCTAGATTATTATAAGGAAACTGCTTTGGTCCCTGAAATGAAAGGAGACAGTAAGAATCAATTAATAACATGTAATTCTTAAAATAAAGAATCTCATACCAGAAAGTACAAATAACCAGAATTAAATCTGGTACCATTATTCACTCTATTTAAAAAATTATTGCCCGCTGATGTGATGCAGTATCTGAAGTGAAATTTGATATGGAGGAGGAAGAGGATTCCTTCTTCATAGAGCACAACCAGGTCCATATTGCTGAGCAACAGGAAGGAGATCCTACAACCAGCCTCAGGACAGACTTCAATGAGAATGCTGGAGAGTGAAGAAGGCATTGATCTTCAGTCCCAGTAGCAATCCTGACACATTCAACACTGTAGATTAGGGCTGTCAAACTCAGGGTCTATGGGCAAATATGCTGGCCACGCCCGGTTTAGTGAAGGGGAAAAAAGTTGTGATATGTCACAAGGCCATGACAATACGAATTTGACACTCCTGTTTCTGCAAGAGACACCTGGGTATGAATGGTTGTTATAGGTGAAAATTTGGTTATTACACCTGAGAATATAAAGAGCCGAACTGAAGCCATTTTGTGTTCGCAGTCTGAACTTTTAAAGTTCAGAACATTTATGCAATGTGTTTTCTGTTAGAAATTATACAAGATTGCAAAACTATGTACTTTGCATAAATTAGAGATATGTGCTGGGGCGCTTTGACATTATAAGTCACATTAAAAGATATTAATAACCTTCTTATAATCTTCTGGTATTTGAATAACAGGAAATCTGAAGATAAATCTGAATAAAGAATATTAATCAGTTTCCAAGGTCAAGTGCGGGAAATTTTGTGGAAAGACCCACAACTTTCCTATGGGATTTTATGTAATTTTGATTTGGAAAGCAAGATGTGTTGTGTAACTGTTTATGTAACCATTTATGGGTATAAATATGTGGGTCTTACTGGAAAGGGCATCCCCTTTTCCTCATACTGTGTCCAGTGTGAGTTAAAGGTGATTGTTACTGCAGTATCAATCTCAATAAAAGCCAGTTACATGTTTTCAGAATATCAAGTCTGTTATTTCATTTCTGCTCTCAGTTATCACAATGGTGAACAAACTGTAAGCTGTTGTTTGAGTGAGTGAAGTCTGAGGCAAGTTTTAAGTAAATCAGACGTGCATAAATTTTCTACATGAGGCAGAAGTCTCTGGAATACTTTGGGCTGTAGCATCGCAGGAACTGACAACTTTAAAATGATGCAGGGATTATACTGTAATTTTAAAGAGAAGAATAAATAAAATAAGAATAGAATATATTCATTGTACCCAGAATTCAAGATCTTAAAAAAAAAAAATCTAAAAAACTATGCATTATTCTTTCTATTAGTAAATTTTTTTCATCCAAAGAAGCGGGATACTTTCCATTTATCACAGAAAGAAACTTATACTGGTAATTCCAAGATTCTATTTCCCCACCAATAAAGAAAACATTCTTGAATTAAATGTGAAGTTTAAAAAATTTCAAATTCAGAAACAAGTTCTTTACAAAACAAAGTCACTTATTTCTTATGCACAAAGTTAAAAAATGTGCAAAGGACAATTAGCATCAAATCTTAAAGAGAACAAAAATTCAGCTACCAGTAGTAGTAAAAAAATTGCTCTAAAATGGTATTCACGTGAGAGGTTTGTTTTTTGGGACCATGGGCTGAATTTTCTGGATCAACTTGCTATGTTCAGTGAAGCGAATATTGCCCACAGTGGGTACCCTAAACCAACTGATTTAGTTGCATTTGGAAAGTCTCTTCTCTTCTCTTCTCTTCTCTTCTCTTCTCTTCTCTTCTCTTCTCT